TCTCAGGGGGGTTTAGCTCCCAAATTTGTGTCACCTGTCAATACTCTGAATTGGATGAGAACCTCTAATTCTCTATGTACCTGCTCTATCTCCCTAACGTGAGTTCATTAGCAAACATCTTTCTTGGTGCTCTCCTCCCTTGGAGATTAATTTAGGATTTAAATGTCCCTTTGTTCATGTCTGTGATGTGACCAATGAGAAGGTGGGCTTATAAAAGAGGAGCTTATACTATTCTGATGGCTGACTTGTAAAAATTGTAATATGATTGACCTATAAAATTATATTAGTTTTAGGTATACAACATAATGTTTCGATATTTGTATATATTGAGAAATAAATGATCACCACTGTAAGTATAGTTAACATTCACCTCCATACATAGTTACAAAAATTTATTTTCTTGTGATGAGAACTTTCAAAATCTACTCTTTTAGCAACTTAGAAATATACAATACAGTATTATTAACTATAATTGTTATGCTGTACATTGTAGCTCCATAGTTTATTTATTTTATAACTGAAAGTTGGTACCCTTTAAAACAAAATACATATTTTTATTGATTTCAGAGAGGAAGGGAGAGGGAGAGAGAGAAACATCAATGATGTGAGAGAATCACTGATCAGCTGACTCCTGAACACCCACTACAGGGGATCCAGCCCACAACCCATGTGCCCTGACTGTGAATTGAACCATGACCTCCTAGTTCACAGGTCAATGCTCAACCACTGAGCCACACTGGCCAGGCATGGAAGTTGGTACCTTTTGACCCTCTTTAGCAGTTTCAACCCCCACTCCCACTTCTGGCAACCACCAATCTATTCTTTGTATGTATGAATCTATGAGTGTTTTTTTGTTTTGTTTTTAGATTCCACATATAAGATCATATGCCATTTGTTTTTTTCTATCTCATTTATTTCACTTAGCATAATGCCCCCAAGACCCATCTATGTTGTCAGAAATTTTTTGTTACAAAACCAATGTATAGGAGAGGCAAAAGTAGGTTTACAATTGTTTGTATGGAAAAGAATACAATAATTAATAAATAATAATACAAGAATAAACTGTGTTTTGCATCCCCATAATTATAAACCTACTTTTGGCCCACCCTTTATGCTCACAACAGAAAAATACAGATTGAAAAGAAAAATAACATCTATATCACACAACTAGAGACAATTAAGTTAATTTTTTAAAAAAAATTTTATTGACTTTTTTACAGAAAGGAAGGGAAAGGGATAGAGAGTTAGAAACATCGATGAGAGAGAAACATCGATCAGCTGCCTCCTGCACACCTCCCACTGGTGATGTGCCCGCAACCAAGGTACATGCCCTTAACCGGAATCGAACCTGGGACCTTTCAGTCCGCAGGCCAACGCTCTATCCTCTGAGCCAAACTGATTAGGGCTAAATAAGTTAATCTTTACATACAGATAAACATAGAGAATCTCAAATGTGTGTATCATACTTGATGCTCATAGTTTAATTTAAAAAGTGATTTATATTACATATACAGCACATTTCCCCCCAATTTGGCAGATTCCAAAAGAATCCTTCCATGTCATCAGTTATATTTCAGCAATAGATCATAATGGCTGCATAATATTTCATTACATAGATGTACCATAATTTCTTTCTTTTCAAAATTAGTTTTAGTAAATAATCCCTTGCTGAAGGACACTATAATTACTTCTAATTTTTTTAATGATTATTCAAGCAAATAAAGGGGAGGGAATGATCAAAAAATCGCTCCAGCCCTAGCTGATTTGGCTCAGGGGCTAGAGCATCGGCTTGCGGACAGAAGGGTCCTAGGTTCGATTCCAGACAAGGGCACATGCCTAGGTTGCAGGCTCAATCCCCAATAGGAGGTGTGTAGGAGGCAGGCAATCAATGATTCTCTCTCATCATTGATGTTTCTATCTCTCTCTCCCTTCCTCTCTGAAATCAATAAAAACATATTTTTTCAAAAGTCACTCCAAAGTTTTAAATCTCGATAATTGAGAAAATGAATTACATAGTGAAAATCTTTAAATACTATACTTGATAGTCACCAGCAGAAGCAATCTGCAGTCTGAAAAGCTTTATGCCATAAAGAAAGAAATGGAAGAAACACATTTATAAAGCTTCCTAAATGGTCCAGCACAAACGACCAAGGCTATGGCAGACGTGGCTTCTGGATTGATGATACAAATGCACTCATTCATTTCACTTCAAAGAAAAACAGAAAAAAGTGTCTGTCATAAGATCAATAAGTCCAGAGTGAAACACAGGTTTCCTCAAATTCAGGATGATAAAGAATTTCATAAAATAAAACCTATAGACTTCAAAACACTGAAAATAACATGAAATTTTTGAGTTGATGAAAATGTGGGCAAAAGTCTTTAGAATAAAAAAATAGAGAAGATTTTTCTAAATACATCACAAAACTACAAACATGTACAAATTAACTTCATATGACAACAACCCAACAGGCTGAAAATAAGTGGAAAAAAACTAAGAAAAATACCTGCAACATATGACAGTCAAATAATTAATATTTCTTAATATAGAAAGAGCAAATAAAAAATCAAAATAACTCCTTACAAGCTAAATGGGCAGAAGACATGAAAAAGCAATTCACAAAATAAATAAAAATGGCCAATAAACACATGAAATATGTTGAATTTCAGAGAAATTAAAACGATTGACAATCTCATCTTTGTGAGCATGCCTGTGCAAAGGAAGACCAAGTAAATCAAAAGGAAATTTGCAATAAGTATAAAAATACAAACATCTTTTGAGTCATTAATCTTACTTCTAGGAATTAACCATAATAAAACAATTATATGTAGCATATATAATTATATACTGCAGTATTGCTTTTCATATAAGATAAAGAAAATAAATCAACTGTGTACAATGGAGAATTGATGAAATAAATTAAGGTACATAGGTACATACAGCAGACAAGCATTTAGCTATAAAAAATGTCAACAGCAGGTCTACATTTGTTGGTGTTGAAAGCCATCCCTGAGACTGTAATGTTTTTAAAATGAGGCAGTTTAGAGCATAGACTATATGGTGTGGTCTTATTAATGTCAAATGGTTACATAGATTATTACATAGAAGTATCTGAAAGGGTGGTCACCAAAATGTTAACAGTAAACCCTGGTGATTTTCACAAACATAAGGATAATTTTCTGAATTTAAAATATAATAAGTGTGTGTTTTTTTAAAGTATATTTTTATTGATATCAGAGAGGAAGAAAGAGGGAGCGAGAGATAGAAACATCAATGATGAAGAGAGAATCATTGATTGGCTGCCTCCTGCATGCCCTCTACTGCAGATTCAGCCCACAACCCTGGCATGTGCCCTTGACTGGAATCAAACCCAGGACCCTCCAGTCAACAGGCTGACACTCTATCCACTGAGCCAAACCAGCTAGGGCATAAATGTGTTATTTTTTATAAAAATAAGAGATTCATTTATGACAGCTCAACTCTTTTACTCCCAACAAGATGGATTTTGTCTATCTCTCCTTTGGCCATCAAGGCCAGCTGGCCATTTAGTGTTTGCTTTGTTTTCCTGTTAACTTGATAAATGTAGTAGAACAAAGACTCTGTCTGGTCTTGGTCCTGGGTTCGTAGCAGAAGCTTCAGAAGCCCTGGGAATTTCCTGAGTGCCAGTATCTTTGTTATGAGGTGACTCCTATTGGGCCCCGAGATAGCTTCAGCATTGGGACTTTCAGCCTTTGAACTTCAGGGAGTAAACAGAGGGTTGAAAATGATGTGGCCAATGTCCCAATCAATGATGCTCATGGAGGAAGCCTCAATAAAAACTTTGGACACCCAAGGTGCATGGAGCTTGCTGGTTGGCAAACACCTTGATGTGCTGGGAGAGTGCCCTGACACCACAGGGAGCGGGCATGAGAGCTTTGTGTTCTCTCCCAGATCTCACCAGTATGTACCCTTCCTAATAAAGTTGTAATAGTGCCCTCCTGGCTCCGTGAGTCACTCTACTGAACTGTTACATGAGGGGAATCGTGGACACCTCTCAACTTGTAGCCAATTGGTCAGAATTGTGTGTGGCCTGGAGGACACCCACCCCCACCTCAGACATTTGGCTAGAGTCTGAAGTAGGGGTGGCCTTGTGGAGGACTTCGCCCTTATCCTGTGAGGTCTGCACTAACTCCAGGTATTTAATGTCAGGATTGCATTGCAGCACACCCAGTTGGTTTTGGTGTCAGACCAGTTGAGTTGACAAGACCAGTAACCATCCTAAGTAATGATATAATACTATTTTCTATAACTAATACTTTTGAGAGTAGAGGACATGTCATAATCTGGTAAATGGTCAAAAGCTTTGTTGATCAGGTTTTGTGATTTTTATACACAAACAATAAAATTCAGGAATTGTTTATCTTTCTTGGGTACCCAAATGCCTCCTTATCTATGCCATCCATGCAGCTCTCCCAAGCATTACTCCCATACACTGTGCACCCCTAGTAAAGCACTTATCACTGTGTGCTGCATTTGCCTATGCCTCTCTCTCATATGCTAAACTGTGAATTCCAAAGCAGGAGCCACATATTAACTACTTTTATATTCTCAGAGCCAGCCAGTGCCTGGTCTTGAGCATGGTTTTGAGGCCAGAAACCTCAGTATCTACCTTCTTGTCTGTCTGGGTGATGCCCAATCTTGCTGGGCCAAGAGCACAGCAAATGCCCCATAAGTTTGGTAAATGAATGACTGAGTCAACAAAACAGCTCTGAACACTCATAAAAATCACTTCTGTGAAAGAACATGGCAGATCAGAGAAATAAGTAACCTCTGAAGGGAAACAGTAAATAAAAATAAGATTCCTTTAAACACAATAAGAAAAAAGAGGATAGTGTCAAGTATTCTTTTTCTCCTCTCTTAGATCTTTGTGGTCTTTTATTATGATAGAAAATCAGTTTGAAGGACTAACTTTTCTCCCTAGTCAGAATGCTATTATCCTTCTTATAACAACGTGTCTACTCACCTTTTAATCTCGCATCACCCCCAAAGGCACCACAGCCCCAGTTTCCCGTGGCCACTGCAGAAAGATTCTCTGAAGAAATCCCAGGACGGAGAAATCCACAGTAAGCCTGCAGGATTAAACAAGTATCAAAGCACATGAGTGACTGGGCACCAGCAGTCTTTCTAACTAGATGGACTGGAGCAGTATCCATTAGCAAGCTTATGTTATCGCTCTATTTTTCCTTAGGGGACAAAATAAAGGGAAAAACAAAAAGTTGTGGGATTATACAAGAAAGAGAGTAAGAAATGATTAATTCTAATACTTATTTGCTTTGATGCTGGGCAAATCAAAGCCCTAAAGCCAGGGGTGAGGAACGTCCAACCTGCGGGCCTTACCAGCCTTGCGACACCATGTGCTCGGCCCTCCAAGGCATGAGGGGTGAGTTAACTAAATGTTTGACCAAACAGAGCAGGCTAATTTTTAAGTTGATAATTTTGTATGGCCTGAGAATGATGTTATAAATATCCAAATGGCCCTGGGCAGAAAAAAAGGTTCCCCACCCCTGCCTTAACCCAACATGGGCCTCAGTTTCTTTTTTCAATTCAAAGATATAGAAATGAAAATATCAGGGACATTTCAAGAGCTGATAGCATCACAATGACACACTACCAGGAACTAACTAAAGATAGGAAAGGCATGTGAAACACTGCTTTATTTGAAGGCCTTTGATCACCATTTTTTCATTAAGGTAAAGAGCAATTACTATTATGTTTTCTTAGCACTCTCTCTGAATTATTGGAACTAGATTAATAACTGTGAATAGCTTTTTAATGTGCCTCCTGCCACTAAAATGCTTAACAATGAGAAAGCAACTATATTATAAAAGGGATTCCTACACCTGGCTACAAAATAATCCTAAGAACCATTCCAGCTCCAAGAGTCTCTAGTTTCAAGCTGTTTTAAACGAGAATATTTGAAAATGTATTTCTCAGTAACCTGGGAAAAGAACAACATATCCTAAGGATGCTGACTAAGTATTAATTACATGAACAGTTCATTTTGTTTGAGAAGACTGCAGTTTAAGGTCCCAGAGTTTCTGATGTCCATTTTTTCCCGATCAGCCTGGTTGATCTCCCTGCTTCCTAAGGGTTCTTAGTTTTCTAAAACTATCAAACTCTATTAAGAGGTTGAGTACAATAGCAAAGCAAATCTTCCTGGGTTTTCTCAAGTAAGAATCAAAGCCAAAAATATAGCTTATGCATAATCATAAATAAAATAAAAATGACCTGTGACAGATGTTCCCAGAGAAAAACCAAGTATAAAGAAAGATGCTCTATGAAATCCACACAGAGATATATAGTCAATTGTTCTGTGAAGTTTCCACAAAGGTATAAAAATTTTACCCACTGTCTGGATGGATTAACAAGGCAATTCCTTGCACCCCTCCTAGGCTGTAAATCCTGACAGATACTAATTATAAGCTGCCACCACACCATTATTCAATGATGTGGTGCAGAGCTTACACCAGAACTCACAAATGACCTGTAAAATTAGATGCATGGAGCTTCTGAAAATCCCTTTCAGGTAAAAGATATCAAAAAGCTCGACTTTTTTTTTAGTAGATTCTTGAAAGATACTGTCTTTCTCCCTTTATGCCAAGAAGAAAGGGAGCACACTCTGTCAGAGTAGATGTAGGTTTGGTTGCCTGTCAAGTTCACCTGCCAGGCCTCGCCGAAGAGGGAGACCCCTTAGCTTCCTTGTTCATGTCATTTCTGTTCTATATGTCAGACTGGCTTTAGTCTCTTCTCACTGCTATCTCTACATATCTGAGCTAACTTTTCTTTAAGCAACAAAAATAGCTTCCTGAAACAAAAGCCTAACAGAATTTTAAATATTTAGACTAGAAGCAAAATCTAATATAAAGTATTAACCAATTTTACAAAAAAAAACCCCTATCCTAAAAAACAGCCACAACTAAAACAAACTATATGACTGAATTAACCTGCATTTGTTTTTATCAAATACAACTTTAAAAAGATAATCAGAAATTAAATGATATAAAACAATTACATGATAATTAGATATAAAAATAACTGTTTGTAATAATTAATTACAAAATTCTTTTATTCTGTTAGAGCCAAGCATTTCCAAGGTCAGAAAGAGGAGAGAGGCAGCAGGCCCCTCTAACGTCCCAGAAGAGGGACAACCATGCTCCTTCTCCAGCGAGGACAGGGTCCCTCAAATGCTAGAAACCAGGGCAGCGTCACTGTCAGGGAGTCCTTCCCTTTCACAGGAGTAATTGAGCTACTTCAGTAAGAAACAACCATCGGGTAAGGATAGAGACCTTAAAAGAACTGCCAAGTTCTTACTTCATGGGGAAAGGTGCCAGGAGTTCTCAAGAGCTCCACACTGGCAACAAATACTTTTTTCCCCACCCAGAGCCACTTGAGGTGAGTAATCAGAACAGTAAGAGTAATAGAAATCCATCTTAAATTTAATCACATCCTGATATGACCTTCACCAATGACAGAGCTACTTATTTTTTATTTTTATTTTTTATTTTTTTTACTAATAAACAACTTTAAACTTGGAAAAAGGGAAGCATCTATATCTCAGGACAGTAAGTAGAAGATATCAATGAACACTTTAAGAAACAAGAGGCAGGAGGAAAACACTATTATCTAGAGTAAAAACCTAGAGCCCAACCAGGAAGTGGTAAAGAGAGATGTAGGAAGGAAATAAAGAAAACTGAAGTGATGCCTGGCCCACATGGCTCAGGGGTTCAGTGTTGACCTATGAACCAGGAGGTCACAGTTTGATTCCTGGTCAGGGCACATGCCTGGGTTGCGGGGCTTGATCCCCAGTAGGGGACGTGCAGGAGGCAGCCAATGAATGATTCTCTTTATCATTGATGTTTCTATCTCCTTCTCCCCCTCCCTCTCTGAAATCAATAAAAATTATTAGAAAAAAAGAAAAAGAAAACTGGCCCTAGCAGATTTGGCTCAGAGGCTAGAGTGTTGGCCTGCGGACTGAAGGGTCCTGGGCTCGATTCCGATCAAGGGCACATGCCCTGGTTGCAGGCTCAATTCCCAGTAGGGGGCGTGCAGGAGGCAGCCAATGAATGATTCTCTTTATCATTGATGTTTCTATCTCCTTCTCCCCCTCCCTCTCTGAAATCAATAAAAATATATTAAGAAAAAAAGAAAACTGATGTGAGAACCCACAGGCCCAGAAATGAGTCCAGGAAATAGATGGTCCTCAGGAACAGTGTACCACAAATATCCATGCTCCCATGTGCATGAGCACACACACACTTTTGTAAAAACTCAGTCTGCAACATTAATTTTAGCAGGCTCAAGTAGATATAATTAAACTATGTCTTTTACTATACTATAAACATATTATTTTACTTGCTAGATTAATAATTTAATTAGGAATAATAATTAAACTTAAAGTAATATAGTTGGTACTGATACTGATTTTCTCAGGTTTTAGAATACTGTGATTTCTTAAAAACAAATACAACAAAATTAAAAAGGAAAGAAAAAACAACAAACATAACATAAAAAAATCCCTTACGAGTCATGGGAACATATGTATTAAGTTTGCACAGTGACAGATGATTACTAAATTTAATGGGGTGATCACATTGTAAGATATAAAAATGTTGAATCACTATATTATACACCTGAAAGTATTACAACTAATATAATACTGTATACCCACTATACTTAAGAGAATCTTTTGGAAGATAATAAATAATATTAATAGTCTTAAAACTATCCTTAGATTCAGTTCATCAATTTTATAAACTTCTCTTGCTACTTTATTAAATAGCAACTGTGTAAAGTTGTTTATTACTATAGTATGTATATGTACAATAGAGAAAAACTTGGTACCACCTAATTGTTCAAAACAGTAGTTAAGTCACAGTATATCAATCCCACAGATTTTATGCCTATTAAATGTATTATTATGAAGATTATTAGAAAGTATGAAAAATATTTATAATATAGGGCTAAAATAAATAGGTAAAATACAAAATTATAGGTACTTTTTGAGCAGATATATATGAAGCTAAATATTCATGTAGAAAGACCTATACAAATGAAAACAATTATTTAGATGATTTTTTATCTTTAAAATAACTGTAAGATTATCCTAACTGGTTTGGCTTAGTGATAGTCAGCCTGCGGCTGAAAAAGGTCCCAGGTTCGATTCCGGTCAAGGGCATGTACCTTGGTTGTGGGCACATCCCCAGTAAGGAGGTGTGCAGGAGGCAGCTGATCGATGTTTATCCCTCATCGATGTTTTTAACTCTCTATCCCTCTCCCTTCCTCTCTGTAAAAAGTCAATAAGATATATATTTAAAAAATAAATAAAATAACTGTAAGATTAATAAATTGATTTTGCTTTTTAAAAATGCAATATATGCCCTTGCTAGTGTGCTCAGTGGTTAGAGAGTCGCCCCAAGCATCAGAAGGGTCTTTGGTTCAATTCCCGGTAAAGGGCAGGTACCTGGGTTTCAGGTTCAATCCTCAGCCTGGTCAGGGTACATACGGGAGGCCACCAATCAATGTATCACTCTCACATCTCTCTCTCTCACATCTCTCTCTCTCTCTCTCTCTCTCTCTCTCTCTCTCTCTCTCTCTCCCTGCCCCCACCTCCTTCCCTCCCTTTCACTCTCTCTCTAAAAAAAAAAATCAATGGAAAAAAAATATCCTTGGGTGTGGATTAAGAACAACAAAAAAAGCAATATAAAATGAAAGAATTATGCAGACTGTAGTTTTCTTTATTATGTGTAAAACAGAAGATTAGAATAGGTATCTGTTTGGTTATTCTGATTCTATATATTGAGAAACTTAGGGGAAAACTCACTTGAACTAATATTTCTGAAAAGTAGTGACACATTTCAAGAAAAGATTATAAATGATCAGATGTTGAACTTCCTAGACATATCAGTAGCAAGTATTGATTGGTTTTGTTAATCAAGCTCTGGTTTAATAACAAGCCCCTTCTAAATTTGGTGATAAGCAATAAAAAAAAATCAATAAATGAATCAATTTAAAAAAGTTAAATGGTAGTGATTTCCTGCTGGGGTGGTCTCTTCACTTTGTTAAATTTCTG